TTCATCAGTGCTGGGGCAGGAGCGGGCAAGATGGGTAGTACCTGCTTTTCACTCATCTCCGCGTCATACTTTTGGATCCAGTTCTCTATTTCCGTCTCTACTTTGTACTTCTTCTGAAAACACAGTCGGGGAGATCAGAGGTTGGGGGGTGGGGGGTGCGGCGCCGAGAGTGCCAGGGCTGCCAGGCCCATGGGGTGGGGGAGTGCTGAATGAACCCCCATCCCTACCACAGGGTCAGTGCTACGGCCCCCGTGTGCGGACGGCCGCACGAGGGAGGCAGCGATGGGGCTCCGGAAGTTTCTCTGGGGCCCCTGCCCAGTGGCACCGATGGCTCTGGCACCTGCTGGGAACATGCTCCTCGCCCTGCTGTTTTCACGAGGGCCCGGGGGCCTCCTCACAGCTGTTGGAGGAGGGTCCAGAACTGCCACAGCCAGGGGACCCTCCCTGCTCCTGCGAGAGGAGCACGCCAGGCCTTTCTTCCTGGTGCCTCCCCGGCAGGGCCAGTCCCCCAGGCCCAGTCATCTCCCTTTTACAGAGAAGAAAAGTGGAAGCCTGGGTAGAACTGGATGTGATGACCCAGCGCGTGGCACCCACAGTAGGCCCTCAAACCAAGGGTGGACGGAATCCATCCTCCCCCAGGCCTCGGGTCTGCACTCCAAGATGGTCCCTGCCAGGGCATGCCGCTGCAGACAGCCCTGGGCCTGGACCTCCCTCCAGGGCCCTGTCTGGCTACGGAATCCCTGCACCACCACCCTCCGCCCTCTGGGAGGAGGAAGCTGCGCAGAGGGCTATGCAGAGGGTCTGGTTTCCGGAACCTGTTAAGCGCCCAGGTGTTGTGCAGTCAGATCCAGCCTCCCAGGGCGTCGTGTCAGCCTTGGCTCCCCATGAGTGCTTGCTCCCACCACCAGTTAGTTCTTGGAACCGCTGTGTGGCTGGCCGCTGGGGTTGCAGCCACAGCCAGACAGGGGTCTTCAAGCTGGCCTGCAAGCCAGGCTGCATGGGGACCCATCGCTGGCCCTGTCCCCCACCCCCAGGCCTGGCTGCCTGACGTCCGCCAACCCACCCAGGGGCCTTCGGCCCGGCGGGCACCTTCCTCAGAGCCTGCTCCTGCTCCCGGTTCTCCGTGACCAGGTTGTGGTACTGCGTGCGCAGCGTCAGGATCTCCTGCTGGATCTTGGCCAGCCTGGCCTGCGAGGCCCGGAAGTCCGCCTTCTGCTGCTTCTCGGCCTCCAGCTTGGTGCGCAGGAGGCTGTTCTCCGAGAACTTGAGCACTTGGTGCAGGTGTTTTTTCAGTTCTTGGATCACGAAGTTCTCCTTCTCCACCTG